TTTGTTGCTGCGTGCCGAAAGTGTCTGTGTGTGTGTCTGCACCCATAATGCAATGCACGTTTGACACCCCCATCCGCCCCACCCACTGCGCATGAGTGCACAACTCCCCCGCCCTCCTGTGCATGCACACACACCCCTGTCCCGTTTTGGGACTAGTAGGCCTCCTTACAGTCTCCTGGGAGCAAAAATGGGCCACGGGGGAGGCACACCAACCCCCCACCCCTCGCGTCTCCCACATGAACCCCGCCCCCGGCACATGTCAGGCAGAGACCTGAAAATTAGCTGGCCAGTGGGAGGCGCGTGCACATGCGCAGTGGAGCTAAGATGGGATGACAGCTCGCATGCCCGCAGGGAAAGTTCTCATGCCACCCGTGGCACACTTGCCATAGGTTTGCCATCATGGGCCTAAGTGAATGATATACATCCAGCCAACAGTCAAGTGTGCCTGTAGTTAGATTTACTATGGATCCAAGACCGGGTAATAGTATAGGATGGGGCTGAGTGCTTTAACCAGAATAGGAAGGCATGCTTTGTGCTGTAGTAATGTGACTGGGTACAAACTAAGAAACCCCCGGAGGGCTGCCACTAATCTGCTAGGCATAGGCACAGCTGTTGGATAAGCTACATAGTATAGCTTTCCTGACAGCAACATAAAGCTGCTTTAATCTCTTTTCATATCCTAAAGGGGGGGATTACTTGGAGGGATTAACATCCCCCTCCCTTATACTCAAGTGATTTAGACCTTTGTGGGGTTCCTATGTGAGTTTTCCCCATTGAAGTTGGGACTGCCTGCTTTAAAGGGGGTGAGGTTTAAAGTGAAGTGAGGGGTGACAAGCCATCGCAAAAGTAGCCATCTGATTTCAACACGGTAGACAGTGGGAAATTGAACATATAGGCCTGTGGGAAGATGTTACCCATGAATAATGCTAGATTCACCTTCGATGCGTCATATGAACTATGTCATGTTTGCGGAGTCAGAAAACCTTGGTTGAAATAAGCTATGGTTTATTGTGATGTGTGAACCCAGTCAGTAAAACAATCGGTCCTAGAATTCATTCTTCTTTCTCTGCACATTAAACCCTTTGGGGTTTTTTTATTTTATTCTCATGGAGTCTTAATTTTCTTGGGTTGAGCATGAACAGTTTTTGAAACCAGCTGCAGCACTTTTTCCCGCAGAACCTCAGAGACTGACCAATAAATGGGGGAAATGCTACACTTGTCCATAGGACTGTCTGTGTTCTATCATTGGCTTTTAAAAAAACCTAAAGACCTCCTTTAACCAATTCTGTTCTTCACCTCATTTTATTGCTGAAATACAGGTACCAGTAGTTCTCGACTTACGATCACAGTTGAGCCCAAAATTTATGTTGCTGAGTGAGACATGTATTAAGTGAGTTTTGCCCCATTTCACAACGTCTCTTGCTGCAGTTGTTAAGTGAATCACTCCGGTTGGTAAGTTAGTAACCTGGTTGTTAAGTGAATCTGACTTCCCCGCTGACTTTGCTGGTGAGAAGGTCACAAAAGGTGATCACATGACCTTGGGACACAAATACGACTCAATTGTCAAGCATCTGAATTTTGATCATATGACCTTGGGGATGTTGTAACTGTGAAAAACAGCCCTAAGTCACATTTTTCAGTGCTATTGTTAACTTTGAATGGAATTGTAGTCCATTGGCAGCCAGCAGAGCTGGCAGCAGAGTCAGACAGTGAGGAGAGTGGGGAGAAACCCTGGGGGCTGAGGAAAGCTCAGATGAGGGCTCTGTGGTGGAGGCAGAGAGGGAGCTAGACAGCAGTGAGGCAGAGGAACAGCCGGAGCCTGTTCCCAGTGTGCGCATGCGCAGAGCTGCCGGAAGATAAGAACAACTAAGAAAGCAGGGTCGACTTGGGAGTAAAGCTACACCTTGCAGGTGATTGGCCCTCCCAGAGGAAACAAAAGAGGAGTGAATGGGGAGGGGGCTTTTGCAGGAAATAATTAGTTCCTTCAGTTGTTTCAAGAGTGGAAAGTTCTGTTTGTGACTATAAGAGACTCTGTGCCAAGTGTTGCTTTGCCCTGCGTTGGAAAACTAGTTATCTGGTAGCTCTCCAAGCGAGATAAGGTTCGTGTTGATAAATATTCCTCTGAAAGACTGTTTGCCAAGCCTT